AACTGGACCAATAAGAAATACCGGAAAAAAGACAAGCTGTCATGGATTTCATTTTACTTGGATTCACAATCAACACCCATGGAAGCAGCAGTTAATAAATCAAATGACACACTGCACTGGGCAAATCTGCTGCAAAAGATCTCTTTAAAGTATTGAAAAGAAAAGATGTCACCTTGAAAGGTGTGCCTGATCCAAGCTATGGTGTTTTCAATCACCTCATATGCATGCAAAAGCTGGACAATAAATAAGGAAGACCAAAGAAGAATTGATGTCTTTGAATTATGGTGTTGGCAAAGAATATCGAATATACCATGGACTGCCAAAAGAAGGAACAAATCTGTCTTGGAAAAAGTACAGCCAGAATTGTCCTTGGAAGCAAGGTTGGACAGACTACGTCTCACATACTTTCGACATGTTATCAGGAGGGACCAGTCCCTGGAGAAGGACATCATGCTTGGTAAAGTAGACGGTCAGCGAAAAAGAGGAAGACCCTCGATGAGATGGACTGACACAGTGGCTGCACCAACGGGCTTAAGCACAACAATGATTGTGAGGATAGCACAGGACCAGGCAGTGTTTTGTTCTATTGTTCATGGGGTTGCTATGAGTTGGAACAGACTTGATGGCACCCAACAATGATGTTCTTCAGTGACTATATGTGAGACGTGGTGTGGGCATGCGGAAGAACTGTAAACACAACGAAGTCACACAGATGCATGAAGGGACGTTTTCCCTTTGTAACTGTCACAGAAATGTGGAACAGATGTGATGGGCACCTGCTTTCAAAGCTCTCCTTCAATATGACTTTTTTTAACATAGAAAACTTCTTAAACATCAGAGAGTAAGCTGCCTCCCGTGTGTCCACTTCCTGCCACCCCAATGTCCCTCTGCCCCTACCATGCTGAAGCATGCCTCAGTGCTCAGCAGGGGCACTAGCTCTGGCAGCCACCATAGCCTCACCCTACGTCTCTCCCCTCTGGTTTCCAACACCTCCCACTGTGCCCTCTGCTTCTTCCTCCTCCTCCTCCAGCCTCTTCCAAGCCCACTGCCAAAACATCAGGCCTCCTCAGGGCCTGGCCTCAGACGGCTCTCTGGACGTTCACACACCCTTCATCACATCCACCAGAGATGGGGATGGAGGACAGGGAGGCACCCAGGAAGGTGTGTGCAATGCCTGGGGTGTGGAGAGGTGTGAGGGTGGAGGGTGTGGCTGGTTCAAGTCCTGGGTGGCTCTGGGCAAATCCCTCCTCTCCTCTGCCATTGGGGGCATTAACAGTGCCTGCTTCCTGCGAGTGTGGGGAGGGCTAACTAAGGACACACTGGCTCAGTGTCCACAACAACCCAGACATGGTCAATGCCATTATCCCACTGGCACCTCCACCCAGTGGGTCAGCCATGAGCCCCTCGTGGACCCTTTTCTCCTACATCCTAGCTTTTGCTAATGTCCCCACAACTCTCCCAGGGACAGAGACTCAAAACCCCAGTCAACTCTGACTGTAGTTCCATGGAGCACAACCACCACCCACTGCTGCTGCTCTGCCAGCCCCACTGGGAGCCGGAGGACCCAAACGCAAGGGCGCCTACGGGAGTCTGTCCACACCGGAGATGGAGACCGGGGATGTGTGCTCTCTGAAGGACTGCTCCCTCCTCCCTGCCCTGGCCCTGGCACACGGGAAGCTCTTACAACGCTGATGGCTTAGTGAATTAACAAACTGATCTCAACTCATGTCCCATCTCAACCTGCCTTTGGTGATACTTCCTGGATCTATCTGCCAGAGCAGTTTTCCAAAAAAGAGTTCTGTGACATCTTCCCAAAGATCAGCTAGTTATAACAGCTAGTCCATTCCACTAGAAAACCTTTATTCTTTTTTTAATGATACAAGTAACACAGGAACGTATTAGCACTCAGGACGAAAAAGGGTAGAAGTGAAAGTCTCCCTTCAGGGTGCAACCTACCCTCCCTTCTCAGAAGGCCCCTGCTAGCATAAGCGTGCTCAGTGGCATCCATAGTTCATCCATCTGGTCTGTGAGAGACACAGGTAAGTCCCACGTCCCACCCATGAGCATCAGTCAGTGTGCACCGAGGGCTCGAGGACTCCCACTGACTTACCCTTGGAACTCCCTCTCCCTCCCTCTTTCTGCTCTTCATCCAGATTGCCCTCGTATTTCTGGAACCCACCCTGCTCAGGGACCTCATAGGGACCCTCTTACATTCTCAGGGATCCCCGAATACCACTGGCCACAAAGGATCTCCTGACTCTGCCCAACTGCCTTTCCGGAACTTGTCTCTGCTCTGAAATTGTTCAACAAGTGAATCAGTAAATAGGAGAAATATACTTGAAGCCGCCTGATGATACCCAAAATGTAAAATTCCAGAGTTTCACATGATTTATATGCAACTGCACAATTTACGAAAGCTATCATCAAGACCTGTACAGCTGAATGGTTTTCTTGTAAATGGTTTTAGAAAGATAATGACCGAGTACGAGCACACACTTAGCATTCATTTCATTCTGTCGGGACTCCAGAACAAACGACACAGTATAATCGATATAACCACCAACCAGCAACTGCAAATTAAGATTTTTGAAGGTCATGACTTAAAAAAAAAATCCAACCACACAATAACAACCTTTCCAAAGCTTATTTCGTCCTAGTACAGGAGGACTACTACAGCATCCCTAATTTTCATGCTGAAAAGTCTTAACACATGAGACATGGCACAAGCATTCCAGTTTACCTGCACAGTTAACAAGGAAGCAAGGTTCCTCCCTTGAGTGGTGGAACAGAATAGCAGGTGAATTTAACCAGAGGGTTAGCAAGCAAAATTCTAACCTGGACAACTTTATGAAAATGCGAACCAAGTTTCTCAAGTTAGAATGAAAACAAACAGAACTTTCCAAATTCTTTACGTATCCCAGATATCACGTCCATGGCACCTGGGCCATGGAGAATGGCTGAAAGCAGCTTTATCGATGAAGCCAACTGTGCTTAACTTGTTTGGCACTGGAAGGAAAAAACTTGAAAACAGCAGATCTGAAAGTATCTGCTTCATCTCTGAAATGTCAACACTCGTTATCAAATTCTTTAGAAAATTACAATATAGAATGTTTTAGTTACTTGAGAACTGCGGCTTCCAGCTGCCTGAAAGCTGCTCTGAGGAGCGTCGCACTCAGTATGAGGATGGCTCGCCTCAATTACCCAGACACCGTTCTGTCTCATGGAGCCTGGAAAGGGACTGGTGCAGAATTACACTGTTAGCAGGAATAGGGAAAAGCAAAGAGAACTAGTTCAAGCAATGAACCTGGCTGTCAAACACAGTTTAGATTCTGGAGAGGCTGGTTGTACTTGTAATACTGTCTCTCCATTCTTCCCTAACTTCCACACACAACATCGTCCCACCCATCAGACAGTAAAGGAATTACCGGAGGCCCAGTCTCTGCGTCTCCCCTTGCAGACACAAACCACACAGCAGCCCACCCAGAGGGCTCTTCATCTTGTCTTCTCTTCCCAACAGAGAAACAAGGCCAAAAACAAAGCCTGTGCATCCGTCTCCCGTCTTGTGCTGTCAATGCCTTTTGGAGTCAACCGTAGTCCCTGTGGGTGATCTGGTGATGCCAGTGATGGTCTATGAGGGCCCGGTCACACCAGGGCCCAGTCACACCCAGGGTCAGGTCATACCCAGGGCCCGGTTACACCCAAGGTCAGGTCACGCCCAGGGCCAGGTCACGCCCAGGGCAAGGGCACACCCAGGGCTAGGGCACACCAGGCCAAGGCACACCCAGGGCCAGGGCACACCAGGCCAGGGCACACCAGAGCAGGTCACACCCAGGGCCAGGTCACCACCAGGCCAGGGCACCTCCCTGGCCAGGACACACCCAGGACCAGGTCACACCAGGCCAGGTCACGCCCAGGGCCAGGGCACACACAGGGCCAGGGCACACCAGGCCAGGGCACACTCAGGGCCAGGGCACACCAGGCCAGGTCACACCAGAGCAGGTCACACCCAGGGCCAGGTCACCACCAGGCCAGGGCACACCGACGTCCAGGTCACACCCAGGGCCAGGTCACACCAGGCCAGGTCACGTCCAGGGCCAGGTCACACCCAGGGCCAGGTCACCACCAGGCCAGGTCACACCCAGGGCCAGGGCACACCCAGGGTCAAGGCACACCAGGCCAGGTCACACCGAGGGCCAGGGTACACCAGGCCAGGGCACATCAGGCCAGGGCACACCAGGCCAGGGTACACCAGGCCAGGGCACACCCGGGCCCAGAGCAGGGCAGCTCCCCTGTGAGGCAAGCCAGCTCCTGTGTGACTGAGGGACCAACCGTACCTGGAGAGCACACAGAGTGGACGTTGTAGATTTTCCAGTATCCTAAAACCATGTGTTCATCACAGTAACTTAGCAACTTTTATTAAACCTTTAGTCCCTAGTTACTTCCTACACCAGCAGAGTCAGTGCAGTGGTCAAAGTGCAGGCTCTGGGGAGGGACTGCCCGCCACACCCAGCTGACCCTCACAGGCTGGTGCCAAGCCAGCAGTGCTCATCTGGACACAGGAAGAACAGCACCTCCTCCCACAGACAGCCTCCACATGGCACCGCTCGGCAGGCACCAGCCCCCAGGTGCTCCAGCAGGGGGCCAGGTGCCAACAAGAAACCTTTATAGATGAGGACCGTGATCTCAGGATGTCTAAATGTAACTGCTGACACCACAGCTCTCAGCCTGTGTTTTCATATCTAAGATGCTCTGCTTCTTAAAAAAAAGCTGATTAAAAAAGAACAAAAACAACCCTTTGTAGCCATTTTAAAAGTAACATGTGGTGCCCAAAATAAGAAGCTTCCCTTCAAAGGCAACCCCGAAATGCTTGCTGAAGCACCAGGCACAGTCACCTCTGATCTGCGGTCTTACAGAGACCCACTCTGGAGGAGGCACGACATCTGAACGCTGTCAGTGACGTCACCGGGCGCGGTCGCAGCAGGAGAAGACGCAGTACTTACACTTGTCGGGTGCTGAGCAGCGGCCTCGAGTTGCAGCCTCACCCGCTGTGGCGTCATCACATCATCCTGAGATAAACAACACAACTTTAATCTCACATAAAGCTTACTACCTGCCAGCATGTTTCTGGATTTCCTTCTACTCTTAAGAAAACGTATCCAAATACCAACCAAAATAAATCCGGTGTAGCTAAAATAAATGTTTAAAGCAGGAAAAAAAAAAATCAATATGGATAGAGAAGATACCTACACAATGGTAAGGAGCTAGCATCACAAGGAAAATAGAATGATTTTAAGTTTGTAGGTGCCAAACACTATACTCAAAAAAAAGAAAGTAATAATTGACGGAACCACCATCACAGTGGAACATTTCAACACATCCCTCTCTGCAGAACAAGCAGACAAAAGAAATCTCTCGGATACAGACCTGAATAATGTGAGTAACTGACCTACAGGACATGCGCACGTACAGCAGTATCCCACCTGGAACAGCAATTCTTTACGAGCACCCACAGGACAGTCACTGCTATCCACTGTGGCACAAAGGAGGGGCAGCACATTCAACAGGACTGGCATCACACAGGGCACTGTTCTCTGACTACAATTCAACCAGAAATTAGTAACAAAACGAAAATCCCAATATGACTGGAAATTTTAAAATATACATCTAAATAATCGGTGGGTCAAAAAAAGAATGATAATGCACAGTACAAAATATCTGGAACCATATGGTAATAAAACAGAAATTACAGGCCAATCTCCTGAGTCCAGATGCAAAAATCCCAAAGAAACCAGTCTAGCCATTTATTTTTCAACAAGTTAACATCTTTGATAATATTTGTTGGCAAATTAGGAATAGAAAGGAACTCCCTCAGTCTGATACGAGCTATCTACAAAACTTGTGGAGTCAGCAGCACCCTGCACACTAAATTGTGGGGCTTTCCCTGTGCGTCCAGAGCGAGGCAAGGCCGCTCCCTGCCATCACTTCCATCCAACGCTGCGCCAGAGTCCTGTCCAGAGAGGAAGGGAGAGCCAGGAGTAAAAACTGTGAGGATGGAAAGGAAGAAACAAAACTAGTATCATCTGCAGAAAGTCCAAAAGAATCTAAAGATAAACTGTAACAACAGGCAAGTTTACAAAGCTGATCAATAAAAAATAATATTCTGAAATAAACTAGATTTCTATGTCAGCAATGAGTAGTTTAAAATGAACGTTTTAAAGTTTTACAATAGCATCAAAAATATGATATACCTAGGAGTAAAGCTAGGAAAATGTGCCGGAAGGCGGCCGAGTGCCCTGTGAGGACAGCAGGGGACCTGGATCGTCTGGCCCATTCCTCCCCTGCTCAGGCCAGGGCAGGCCCACAGCGTGTGTCAGTGGTCACCCAGGGTGTGGACTCTCAACAAGCAAAACAAGGGAAGGGAACGTGAGAAGGACACAGAACAGACTGACCAGCTGCCCAAGTTAGGTTCCCATGAAGACAGCGCACAGAAGACAGAAAAGGAAAAAGAAAAATGTTTCCCTTGAAGGGTAAGTGCTCTTGTATCTGGTGGCCTCACCGCAGAATTCTACAGGTTTCTGAGGGTTCCTAAACCAATCTTTTTCTCCTGTTAAACAACGAGACTGTGACAGACACTGTACACAGAGAGCCAGGGGCTGAGAGAAACGGCCGGTAGTAACACCCTGCACGCCAACGGCATGATCCCCAGGACCCACAAGGGCCTGGTGTGCTGGTACAGCAGAGGAGGACGGCAGAAGCGACAACCTCACACATTCCCGCCCCGTCCAGACGCCCCATTCTAACAACCTCAGATGGTTCCACCCCATCCAGACACCCCACTCTAACAACCTCAGATGGTTCTACCCCGTCCAGACACCCCTTCTAACAACCTCGGACATTCCCGCCCAATTCAGACACCCCACTCTAACAACCTCGGACATTCTCACCCTGTCCAGACACCCCATTCTAAGACTTACATTCGTGAAGCTCCTGTGAGCCTTTCCAGAACCAGGATCCAGCACACACTTGGGATTTAGTGGCCCTCAAAAATATCTGAAGAACAAATGAATGGATTCTCATATCACTTCACCACTGACAAAACACTCACACAAGGCAATCTTCTATGCCTGGAAGCAGGCAGGATATATCACCCCCATTCTGGAGTTAAGGAAATGAAGGTTTGGAAAGACTGTGTAATTTGCACAAGGTCTCATAGCAATTACATGGCAGGGTTAAAATTTGAACACAAGATTAACTGAAAGCCCAATTTTACAGTTCAAGGACCTACGTGAAAAGCATAACTGCCCAGAATCCCCTGGCTCTCGGGAAACTGAAGAACATTCCAGTGTAACTCTGCATCACCCGTTCCACCAGTATCACCTCCCCTGCTGGGGTCTGAACAGAGTCCACATCTGCAAGTACAAAGCGATACTGAAGATATTTAACACACCTGACAGCCAATCAACTGAGAAATTCAAGGATGGATGCAATGAGCAAAACATTCATGCCAAAAAACGAACAGTATCACAGGTACCCAACTAGTTCACGGTGCATGGTGACTCTGCTTTTTATAAAGAAGCCCCTTGTTCTCCCAAGACCATTCTGAAAGACGAAAAACTTGCTGAAAGATGGGAGAATGAAAAGGTCTTTATTTCACATGAAAAGCAAAGCGGTATTTCCATAACGAGCCCAGATGTGTTTCTGCTGGTGGGGGGCCCAGGGTCCCCATCGCTCAGCCTGTCCCCACCAGCCTCCCATTCTGGGGAGGGAGGTCTGCTCTGGTCAAGTCCCACAGTGCTCACAGCTGGTGCCAAATACCAAGAGTTGGTTTTAACAAAAGTCAGCTGGTATTTGAAAATGTGACAGAGAGAGCTAAAAGGATATATATATACAAAGGGTTATTGAACATGAACTAAAAAGCACAAAGTCTGCATTTCAAGGACATATTATCCCAAGGTCTATCTGGAGCTAGTCTTCTCTTATAACACGAGGGTGTGTTCAAAAACCTCAGTATTTATCAGCCCTAAAGGGTACAAGACTTGCAGGCTGGCTCACATTCCACAGTGATAACCAGCTAAGGAACATTCTTAGCAACCTAGGTACAAGAATTCTGATGCACTATAAAACAGCATTAATTCAAGATGAAGCACTGTTTCCTTTCTGATCATAAAAGCATTAGCTAGAAAAAAGCCACTCCAAAAAAAAAAAAAGAGTGAAAAGAAAGGAGGAGCTTAGAGTTAAGTACTTTCCCAGAGAGATGGTCTGGGGAGAGTGCAGCTCTCCAGGTTCTGAGGTTAGACGGCTCAAGGGACGAAACCACACGGAGGCACGTGGCCTGAGCATGGGTAAAGGAGTGTGATGGTTAAGGCTATGTGTCAACCTGGCCAGGACATAAGTCTCAGTGGTTTGGCAGATATTACGTAATCATTCTCCATTTTGTGATCTGATGTGAGCAGCCAATCAGCTGAAAGGCCAATCAGTTGAAAGCCAATCAGCTGAAAGCCGGTCAGTTTCCTTGGGGGTGTGGCCTGCATCCAATATATATGGATGTTCTGCCAAAGCTCACCCTCTTTCGATCCTGCATCTGACTTGTCATCCTCTGACCTCTGGTTCTTGGGACATGAGCCAGCAGCCTGCTGCCTGACTTGCAGATTTTGGGATTTGCCAGCTCCTGCAGCCCTGTGAGTCAGCAGCCTGCCATCTGTTCTGCTGATTTTGGGTTGGTCAGCCCCTGAAACCATGTGAGTCAGGAGAAGCCTCCAGCCTGACGCCTGACCCACGGATTTGGGGCTTGCCAGCCTCCACAACTGTGTGAGCCATTTCCTTGAAATAAATTTCTCTATATATATTTATACATACGTTTCACTGGTTTTGCTCCTCTAGAGAACCCAGCCTGAGACAAGAAGGGAGCTGAAGACCAGGGTAAATATGTGTAGACTACTTGCAGATAAAGGACTGACACTTTCTGACTTCAAACCTAACTACAGAGCTACAGTGCTAGCATAAAGATAAATATACAGATCAATAAAACAGAACTGATGGTCGCGAAATAAACATTAACAATTATGGTCAACTGATTTTGACAAAGGTACCAAGGCAATTCACTGGGGAAAGGATAGTCTTTTCAACACGGAGTGCGGGGACAACTGGATCATCACATGCAAAAAGATCAGTGTAGACCCTTACCTTACACCACACACAAAAATTAACTCAAAATAGATCACAGACCTAAATGTAAGGGCTAAAGCTCTAAAACTCTTAGAAAACTACTTAAGAGCAAATCTTCACGAGCTTCGATTGGCAAAGAATTCTTAGATAAAACACCAAAAGCACAAGTAATAAAAGAAAAATTTGACAAATTGGACTTCATCAAAACGTCTGCATTTTAATTTAGGTATAAATTTAACAAGAACATAAAAAGACAAGCCACAGACTGAGAAAAAGTATTTGTCAGTCACATATTCAGCATTAACCAGTGCTGACACTGAAGACACAACACACCGCCTGACATTGTCTCTAGCTGCTGCGGGAGTTGAGCTGAAGCAGAGAATGTGCAGCCTGGATGGATTAATGTAAGGGATGCCTGAGAGGAATGAGATCCACGGGGAGGGGGAGGGCACTAAGAAATGAAAGAAACAGCAACAAAACTTTCTTAAATATTCCCATTCTTTTCCCAGCATCCTTTCTCTGTTTCAAGGTATGTGAGGCATCATCAGCTTTTGGAAGGGAACCTACTTAAGTTGATTAAGGATACATATGAAAAAAATCTACAGCAAACAACATACTTAATGGTGAAATGTTTAAGTGCTCTCTCTGTGATTGGGAAGGAGACAAGAACGCTCATTATCATGACTTATACTTAACAATGTACTGGAGACTCCAGCCAATCCAAAGAGGAAAGAAAAATAAATAAAAGACACAAGGATTAGGAGGAGGAGAGAAAAATGACAGTCATTAGTCATAGACGAAATGATTGTGTACATAAGCAATCCAAAATAACCTACAGATAAATATTAGAATTAAAAGGGAATTTAGCAAGGTTTCTAGATATAAGGTTGATAAATAAAAT